GCGATGGTGGCGATGGTGACACTGACGACAGGAAGGCAAATGACGGCGCCTTTGCTGTTCCCGCCGATGACGATGATGGTGTCCACTGATGGTGTTGAAGGTCCTGGAAAGACATTTACGTGCACGCGCGGCACGCTAACGCGAGCGGCCCACATGGCAATCTTCAGTTTGACCGGATCGCGCCGCCCCGCCCCCTCGCCCCAGCGCGCGCGCAAGGACGTTCGACTGATTTCGGCAGGCTTGCGCGAGACGCACGCGTGGGCAAATTCGATGAACAGGGTCAAGCCCACGCAGCGACGATTGCGACGATTGTGTGGCGTTGGTTGGCGCACCGCCTCGGCCGCGCTAGCGCGCGCAGGCTCGCCCGCAAAGCGGCCGGCTAGTTTGGCGCGACTGGTGCGGCCGCGGTGGCGCTGACCGCTGTGCATTGCCCAGCGCGTGCCGCAGGCTTCGTTGACGCGCGGTCAATTCAGTGCGAGTCGATGATCCGGGCGAGCGCGGTAGCATGGCGACCTCGCTAACGGTTGTCACGATGATAGTAGCGATGGTGGTGGCGATGGTGACAATGACGACGGGGAGGCACATGATTGCGCCTTTGTTGATCACGCCAATGACGATGATCGTGTACACGCGTCTGTGGTGAAGGCTTTGGGAGGGCATAGACATGCGCGCGCGGCGAACGGGCGCGAGCGGTCCGCATAGCACTATTTGACCGGATCGTGCCCCCCCTGGCACGCGCGCGAGGGCGGCCGAACGGTTTCGACGCTTGCGCGGGAGGCTCGCTTGGTCGCGTGAAGACGCGACGGTTTTTCAAGTCCTTCTCACGGCATCGTAGCGTTTTCCAGGAAACCATTTGAAAAAGGTTGTCGGGTGCCTCGTGAGGCCTCTTGGGAGCCTCCTGGGGCCCTTTTAACGTTTTAGTGTTTCTTGGCCTGCCTGACGCCCACGGAGGCCGGCTTGGGAAAACTATGTGCCGTGCTCGTGCCCTGTTGGATCGGTTCACGGCCACCTTGGGGCCCTTTTGGGGCCCCTTGGGAGATTTTCTATTTTTGTTGACCGAATCGAGGCCCTTTTGAGGTGCGTTCGGGCTGTCTTGCAGCTATCTTGGAGGCCTAAAAAAAAGTCTTGGGCAGTTTTGGGCGGCCGGAAACCTGAACATGCGCGAACTTCACAGTCGTCTAACCAACAGAGGAGGAGTATTTGTTTTTGGTCCCCTCGGGCTCTCCAGGAGGGCCTCTTGGAGCCCTCTTGGACTGTCCTGGAGGCTTCTTGATATGTCTTGAGGCTGTCTCGGGAGCTTCTTGACCCGTCATGGGCCATTTCTGTGTCATCTTAGCTGCTTCGAAAGCCGTCCAGGAGGCCATGCGGCTCCCAAGAAGGCCTCGACATAGCTTAATATGTCCCGAGACGGCCCAAGAGGTGTCCAACAGGCCTTGTAGGAGAGCCCGTGGATGCAATATCATTGATTGTCCGAAGGTCACTAAAGGATTGTGAGGTTTTGGTATGTTTGGGTTTCCGACTTCACAAGACAGCCCAAGTGGCCTTGTTGGGCCGTCTCGTTGCTCTCCTATAGGGCTTCAAGCCGTCTTGGGGCCCTCTGGGGAGTCGCTTCGGCAATATTTGGGTCCTCTTGGCCCGACTTGGGACCCTCTTGGGGGTCTGTTCGGTTGTCTTGGAGCTATCTTGGAGACCTCTAAGAGGCCTTTTGGGTCGCCGGGACGGTCGGGAACCAGAACAGGCGAGAACCTGAATCTTTCAAAGACCTGAAGAACATCCATCGTGTTTGTCCCCTCGGGCTCTCCAGGAAGGCGCCTTGGATCTCTCTTGGTTCGTCTTGAGGGCGTCTTGGGCCGTCGTGAGGCTGTCTTGAAAGGCCTTTGGGCGATTATGGGCCATCTTGAGCAGTGTTGTTGTCGCCTTGGCTGTCTTGATAGCCGTCTTTGAGGCCATCTTGGCGGTCTAGAGGCCGAAAGGAGCGACGGAGGGCAACGCTAGGAGGGACCACAGGCCAAAGGTAAGTGGAAACACACTCCCAGAGGGACCACAGGAGCATTCAAACATGCCCACTCCGTGCAGGCACTGTGAAAGATTTGTTGGCCAATAGATGTGGAGTAATATGTTATATATATATACATATGTATGACCTGATGTGATATGGTATGTTATGATATGATCTGACATGCTATCATATTATACGCATGCGTACATACAAACCTACATACGTACATACCGACGTGTATAGTGCAATGTATTTGGGCCCATCTTGGGACGCATTGGCGGCCCGCCCCCTCCCCTCCCTTCTCCCGCCCAGATTCTGGGAGAGGGGGCCCCGTTCAGATCCAGAGGGGGAGGGGGAGGGGGAGGGGCCAAGCTAGGTGCGCTCGCGTCATATCTGACGTCCTACCCCTCCCTCCCATCCCTTACCATGGCGCTGATTTTCTCTATCCGCGGACGCGTGTCTTAGCGGACCTGTGGCTCCGCGCGCGCGTGCGTAGTGGGTGGTGGTGCGCGTGCGGGCGTGCGTGCGTGTGTGCGTGGTGGTGGTGGTGGTGGTGCTGGTGCTGGTGCT